TTAGGTCCATACCATTTCTGTCCTTTATTGAGCCCATCTTTGCATGAAATGTTCCCTTGGTATCTCTAATTTTCTTGAAGAGATCTCTAGTCTTTCCCATTCTGTTGTTTTCCTCTATTTCTTTGCACTGATCACTGAGGAAGGCTTTCTTATTTTTCCTTGCTATTCTTTGAAATTCTGCATTCAAATGGGTATATCTTTCCTTTTCCCCTTTGCCTTTCCCTTCTCTTCTTTTCACAGCTATTTGTGAGGCCTCCTCAGACAGCCATTTTGCCACGCTCTGTTCAGTTCAGTTCAGTTGCTCAGTCGTGTCCGACTCTTTGCGACCCCATGGACTGCAGCATGCCATGCCTCCCTGTCCATCACCAAGTCCCAGAGTTTACTCAAACTTTTGTCCATTGAGTCAGTAGATGCCATGCTCAGTAGACCTTTAATCCAGTTTTCTGTTGATGAGCAGGACTGTGTTCCCTCCCTGTTGTTTTGCCTGACTGTTTTGCCAAACTGTCGATCCATGCCTCCACTGGAGACTCCTGGACACTCACAGTAAGTCTGGCTCAGTCTCCCACTGGCCTCCAAAGTAAAATTCCCTGGGGGTTCTCAGCCCCTTTGCAGGATCCCCAGGTTGGGAATTCTGTTGTGGGTCCTAGAACTTTCTTAACAGTGTGAGAATTTCTTTGCTATAATTTTTCTGCAGTTTGTGGATCGTCTGCTTGGCGACTCTGTGGTGGGGCTAATGGCGACCTCCTCCAAGAAGGCTTATGCTATATGACCCAGGCCTGCTGCAGCCAGAGCCCCTGTCCCTGCAGCAGGTCACTGCTGACCCGTGCCTCTGCAGGAGACACTCAAACACTCAAAAGCTACCATATTTATATTTATCTTTCTGATTTGCTTCACTCTGTATAATAGGCTCTAGGTTCATCCACCTCATTAGAACTGACTCAAATCTGTTCCTTTTTATGGCTGAGTAGTATTTCATTGTATATATGTACCACAGCTTCTTTATCCATTCATCCAGTGATGGACATCTAGGTTGCTTCCATGTTCTTGCTATTGTAAATAGTGCTGCAGTGAACATTGGGGTACATGTGTTGTTCTCAGTTTTGGTTTCCTCAGGGTATATGCCTAGGAGTGGGATTGCTGGCTTTATTCCTAGCTTTTTAAGGAATCTCCATACTGTCTTCCATAGTGGCTGTATCAGTTTACATTCCCACCAGCAATGCAAGAGGGTTCCCTTTTCTCCACATCCTCTCCAGCACTTATTGTTTGTAGACTTTCTGATGATAACCATTCTGACTGGTCTGAGGTGCTATCTCATTGTAGTTTTGATTTGCATTTCTCTAATAATGAGTGATATTGAGCATCTTTTCATATAAGGATGAAAAGCCATCTTTGTTAGCCATCTGTATGTCTTCTTTGAAGAAATGTCTTTTTAGGTCTTTTTCCCACTCTTTGATTGGGCTGTTTGTTTTTCTGGTATTGAGCTGAATGAGCTGCTTGTATATTTTGGAAATTAATTCTGTGTCAGTTGTTTCATTTGCTTTATTTTCTCCCATTCTGACGGTTCATTTGGTAATTTCTTGAACATTTTCATGACACATCTTGAGTCAGC